ACAAAGTACGTGGATGTAATCTTTATCTGTTTAATTTTTTTTCTTCTTCACTTAAAAAACAAATAATGACTATTATCAGTTAGTTGTAAATTGTGTGAATAAAATTTTGATGCATGGAAAGTCAATAGAGGAAGAGAGAAGACATGCAAAAATATTAGCTGATTTAAATCATCAAAAAGAACTGTTTTTACAAAATATCGGCCACGAATTAAAAAGTATTAAGAATTCTCTTAAGGACTCTTCTTTTTTAAAAATGACTTACAAATCAGTTTACTGATACGTATATCTTTTATTAGCACCATTAACCCTAATATTTTCACCACTTGATGAACTAATTAATATGTGTTCACAAGATAAACAAATGAATTCGTATCTTCACATAATACGACGCAATACATGCCGATTACTTAAACTTATCAATACTTTGCTTCAGGTAATTTATATATAATTTAATCGTTGATAATTATTAATAACATTTAATGTTAACTTTAAATGTGCACCGAGTTTCAAGAATACGTATTATATTATTCATTTCATATATAGTTTTCAAACGTAGAATCTGGCCGATTAGAAGTGTATTATTGTGAAACAAATATAGCTAAATTTACTCAAGAGTTGGCTATGAATTTTGAAAGTATGGCAAAAACATTAGGTCTAGAATATATTATTGATGTTCCAAATCCAGAAAACTTTAATCAAATTGTGAATGATAAAGTTTACATAGATCATGATATGTATGAGACAATTGTATTTAACCTTTGTAAGCTTTTTTTTGTTTTTTTTTTAAAAAAAAAAGATATTGCAGTGCAATTTGTAATATATAATTTGAGATGCATGAAACTTAGTAATGCGCCAAGATATTAATACAGTATTTCACCCTTTAAAGGTTCAAATGCATTAAAGCACACTTGGAATGGGCATATCCGCGTTCGCTTATATGTCGAACACAAAAATGAACAACAAATGATAGTTCTCGAAGTCTCAGATACAGGTTAATATTGTTTTATACAAAAGTTATTATAAGCTTTGTATACACACATGTATATTCTCATCAATTATTTTAAATAAATTAGGTGTTGGCATCCCAGAAACTGCACTTCCAAATATATTCCAGCGTTTTTATCATGTTGAATCTCAAAACTCTCGCAGTCATGAGGGCGCTGGAATTGGCCTCGCTCTTGTTAAAGAATTTATTAAATGTCATGGAGGGGATGTAGCCGTAACTTCAGTAGTTAACCAAGGAACGACATTTAAGTGTTGGTTTCCAACGGGATGTAAACATCTACCAATAAATCAAATATATCATAAAAGCAGGGAAGGAAACCTAATGGGTCATGATCAAAGATATTCAAAATTACAACTTTATTTAGAAGAAAACTCGCAATGGGTACAAAATAATTCATCTTCAACCCAAGAAAAGGTGATAAATAAGAAATTAATAAGTGATGTCAACATTAATGGCATTAATGCTGATGAAACATCAACAAGTGGAATCATTAATTCAGATAATTCTGCGACTATTATCGATAAAAAATATCAAATTTTGGTTGTTGACGATAATAATGATATGCGGTAATTATTTCATTATTTTAATTTTAAATTTTCAAGAGATTTTACAATGTTTTTTCTTATTGGAATAGAAATTATCTATCGGATTTGTTAGGAGAATTTAATGTACTTTGTGGTTGTAATGGCCAGGATGCAATTCGAATTTTAAAGGAGCTTAAGAAACTTCCAGATTTAATTCTTAGTGGCAAGTGAATATATAAATATAATCACATCATTTTTACAGTATTTATCATGTATATAATAATTAATTTAATTATTAAATTTAAACAGATGTCATGATGCCAAATATGAATGGATATGAGTTATTGGATACGATAAGATCTAATATAAAAACCAGATCAATACCTGTAATCTTATTAACCGCAAAGGCTGAAGAAGAATCTAGTATTAAAGGTAATTCATTTCATTTACCTAAGATTATTAAAATGAGTAATTTTTATTTTTTATGTATTTATTCTTAGGATTTAATAAAGGAGCAAATGATTATTTGAAAAAACCGTTTTCTGCTCGAGAATTAATAGCTCGTATTCGAGATAACATTGAACTCTCACATCTTCGTAATAAAATATTATCCCAACAGCAAAGACAAGAAGAAATAAAGCAATTTCTGCTTTCAATCTCTGAAAAGATTCATTCTGGATCTGATTTGAAAGAAACGCTTTTAGACGTTATTAAAGCAATCCATATTATTTTACCATGTGATAGAATATTTATTACTTCATATGCGTCACCTAGTTCAAATAGTACATTGGTTGCTTTGTATGAAGAGCCGAAAAGTACGACAATATCACCAGTAACTGAAAAATTCCAAAAATTAGAAATTACAGATTTGGGTTCCCAAAATTCACAGCCACAAATGTTGTTAAACAACGGTTCTGGAGTAGAAATTGCGCCTAGTATATTTTGTGCCGATATTTGCAAAAGTGTATCCATGTTATCCGCAGAAATTAGAATGAATGATGGTTATTGGGGATGGATTAAGTTACATCGGTCTCCAAATTCTGTTTGGCTTTGTTCAGAAATAGAGTTATTACAACAAATATCAAATCAAATAAGTTTAGCCATTACTTATAATATCTTATTCGAAGAGAATTTAAAGAAAGAAATGCAAATAAAAGTTGAGGCTTTCGCGAATGATGCTAACAATCAAATATTAGCAAATACTTCTCATGGTACAGTATACAATTTAAATATCACTATATTTGCAATTTGTGATATTAAATTTGACTATTTTAATCATCACTATCATATTTTGATTATCAAAGAATTGCGAACTCCTCTAGGAGCACTAATGGGCATTCTTTCTTCTTTTGAAAGCAGCACTTTAAATGATTGTCAAAGAGACATGATCGATATAATGATGCATACTTCCGATGTTGTATTATCTATAATTAATAATATCCTTAACGTAGCAAAATTAGAAACGCAAAAAACTATTCTAATAAATAAGACATTTGATTTATTGAACCTTATTGAGGAAGTAATTGAACAGTTTGCAAAAAATTTAGAGAATAAGCCAATTGAATTGATTTTAAATTGTGATACAGAAAATCTACCAAGATATGTTAAAGGCGATCCCGAAAGGTGACTAATCTATGGACTTTTTTTTAGAAAAATAGAATGAATTTCTTACTTATTATTCTTTTACCATATAGGCTTAAACAAGTTTTATTTAATTTATTATCAAATTCGTAATTATATTTTATTTTTTCTCACCGTTTAATGTTTTTATCTATTCCAATGTTCTATCCCAATAATATTACTTTAATTTTAACTTATATTAAGGGTCAAGTTTACTGAGACAGGTGAAATTGTAATATATATTTCAATCCAATCTGAAAAATCTATTGAAGATATTAAAAGTCCAACTTATAGTCACATGATCAACAAGAATTATTTATTAATTGAATTATGCGATACTGGAATTGGGTAAGCTAATTATAATTATTTTATTATCAAAATTTTTTATTCAGTTGCATTTTATCTTGTTTTTAACTGATGATACACTGTAGTATTGATCCAAAAGTTATGAGATATATTTGGGAATGTTTTTCACAAGTGGAAACATCAATTACTAGGGTACAAGATGGTATAGGATTTGGCCTTTCAAACAGTAAACATTTAGTAGCAATTAATGGTGGAAAAATTAATGCTGAAAGTCAGTTAGGAAAAGGGAGCAAATTTTGGTTTACATGGAATATTGACCTATTACCGCCGAAAATGCCATTTAATAAGCAAATAAATTATGCATTACCATCTTATATCATATTGAAACGAATATTAGTAATTCATCCAGTAGAAAGTGTGAGAAATGCAATATTGAAATATCTTAAAATGGTTAAAAAGGTTGACGCATTTGATATCTCTTGTAAAGGTATCCAGGAAGCAAGAAATTATCTAGAACTGCACAATCAATCTGCTTATGACATAGTATTTATCAACCTTCATGAAAAAAACAAAGAAGAAGTCATGAAAGTTGTATTGAAGTTAAGAGAAATGAATATGTATGGTAATGATTTATTAGTTATATTTATGTTACTTTCGAGTGATAAAGGAACAGCTTTGGCCGAAAATTTAACTTCGAACGTTGGAGGACGTACTGGTATTATTTATTCACCAATTACTTGGCAAAAGCTTAATAAGTTATTGTTAGATGTGAATGATGAACATATTACTGAAAATAAAGGTATTTTAAAAAGAGCAATTGATTATAAGATTAGCCATGCCGGGAGTACAAATCAAGATTTATATAAAGATGTAAATGAGGCAATTTTTAAAAGTAGATCAAGATCTGTTTCTAGGAGTAAATGTATTTTGTGCGTGGTAAGCATAATTTATTTAATTACAGAACATATTAGTTCAATTTTGACAAAGTTTATTATTTGTAGGATGATAATTTTACTGATTTAAAGGTAATCAAAATTTTAATTTCAATGCACAGTATTCTCAAAAATTTGCTAATCTATTTTTTTATATAGGTTATACAGCAGCAACTTTCAGAACTTGGTTATTCAACCATTTCTGCAACAAATAGTCAAGAGGCAATTAATATAATTAAATCTGAATTTGAACCATTAAATTTCAATTGTTCAAATTTATCAAGTTCAGATACAAATAAAATAAGTTCCCGCAGAATTTCTATGATTTTGATAGGATATAATTTAGTAAGTTTTATTGAATTAAACAAGAATACTTTATCTGTAAATTGTTAACTATATAATTATCTACTATAATTAGCAAACAATATCAGTTTTCGATATTTCACGAGCAATTAGATCTATGGGACCACATGTTTCAAATATACCAATTGTCGCATTGCTCACGGAAGAATTACGTGACAAATGTATAGAGTCTGAAATAAACGATTATCTTACCAAACCTTTTAAAACCCAACAACTTGAAGCTGTTCTAACCAAATGGATTAATAATGACGAAAATTAAAATAAGAATATAAGGAATATTTTTAATTTTGGGAATTATCAAATAGCATTTTATCTTTTTTCGCATATGCGATATATCGCACCCTATAAGATCAGGTGTAATGTGTAATCAAAACAATAAATACGTATAGTCAATAGTTTAGGGTTAGGGTTAAGGTTGGATTAGGGCAGAGTAGGGCATGAATGGAAAAGTTCTAACCCAAAATTTAGTGAGGAATTTTTTTTTTGTCAGAACGTAAGAAAAAAAATGTAATCGCTTCGATTTCACGTTAAACCTGATCCTGCATCCTGAATGGCTGATTAAGGAGTAGCGATACATTGCTATGGCAACAAATTACAAAACCCATTAGGATAATAAGAAAATAAATCTTTGTAATTTTTTGTGATTTAGTACTTTAATGTTTTAGCATTTTAGTAGTTTAGTAGTATTGTAAATTATTTTTTAAAAAAAGTATTACAGTAGAATTGCAGATTATTAAATCACCTTTTAAAAATTTATAATGAGCCAAATATGCAAGATATTGAATTAAAAACTTAAAAATAAATTTATTAAATCTATATCCTTTAAATAAAAAAAATTAAAAAATTTTGTATAATATTTCTTGATAAGAAATTATATAAATTTTAAATTTTTTATATTTGTATAATTTTTTAACTTTTAATATCTGTTTTACTAAAGCATACTACTGGTGTTCAACACCACATATCTAGTAGCTAATCTACAAAATTTTTCTGACATGTGATTACCATTACGATTTTACACTACATTATATATTTTTCATATTACTATTAAACGTGATTAGCTAAATGTTTTTTTCTGTGCTTTTTATGATGTTCTTTTGGTGCTTTTTACAATGTTTTTTTAGTAACCTTTATAATATTCTTTTGGTACTCTTTAGGCTATGCAAATTTGTATTATTGGTTCTCATAACCAAACAGATCATTAGACCCAAGATAAAAAATTTTAATTTTCAGGTGCAAAAAGAAATTGACCAATCAGAATTGACCAAATTTTATTACAAAAAAATTATACTAAAATATATATCACATAATTTGATTGAATAATATATACAATACTTAAATATATTAGCTATTATATATATATGACTAACATTTCTAACTTATAATATTTTATTACAAACCTTTTTACTACTATTGCG